AGTTTTCTCAGTAAATCAAAAATAAGAAATTACAAAAGATCAAAAATCCAAAAATCTTAACTATGGAACACCAATTACAAAATGTATAGAGAGAAAGGTTGTACTTACTAGGCAAATCTAATAATAGTAGTCTTTCTTCACACGTTGTTTCTTGTTATTCCTTATACTCAGTTAACCAATTCGTATCAAGTATCTGGAACGTTTAATAGCAGCACTGATAATCCAAATTTCACTTTTCCGAAGAATTCACTTTTTCGAACTTCCTTCAGTCTTTTGAAATTTTCGCGACGGATTACGACTGTTACAACTCTCCCGAAACTTAAGCACTCTGAGCATCCGAAAGAACTGTGCCAATTATATTTTCGATTCAGAAACTTGTATTTTAAAAAACATTTATTTTATTGATTAAAATACAGAGGTGACAAAAGAAAATATTCGGATCAAATTGCTAGAGTCCCCAGTACATCGACCTTAAAATTTTGTAACTCATGTATACGCCAAACTTCCTGAGCGGCTTCATAACACCAAGTCGGACAATAATTTTCATGTCTCCACCCTGGGCGATGGGACATTGCTGCGCTAGCTCTTCGTGAAGTTGTCGTTCTGACGTCCCTAAGGAAGTTGATACATGTACGTGTAGTTTCAATGCTAATCGACTGTTTTTTACATTACATTAACGATATCACATTTGTCGGACAAAAACCATGTGGCTTTGGGGAAGGTCCGACACCCCCAACATGTCGCTGTGGCGTCCCTAAGGAAGTTGATACATGTACGTGTAGTTTTAATGCCAATCGACTGTTGTTTGTATTACATTAACGATATCATATATGTCGGACAAAAAGCACGTGGCTTCGGAGGAGTCCGACGCTCTCAACATGTCGCTGTGGCGACCCTAAGGAAGTTGATACATGTACGTGTGTTTTTAATACCAATCGACAGTTTTTTACATTACATTAACGATATCACATTTGTCGGACAAGAAATTTGAGACAATCAATGAAAAAATTGAAATTAGTTTGCCTCAACGCAACGTGCATATTAGTCAGTTTATTATTTACCTACTTTGACAAATACCTGTGAGGCTTTGTGTCATATTCCCTGATCTGTTTTTTTGATAGTTCTCCGAGTATTTACGGAAATTATTCTGTAAACGGTCATTCAAAACCACGCGTGTGAGAAAGAATGGATATTCAGTCGTGTTTTTTGTGCGATCTCAGGAGTGAAGATTCTGAATTTCGGCAGAAATTGATCAAAAGGACTATTGTTGTCCGACTGACTTTAATACTGATTTTATTTGTCCGACATTTACTACACATGTTTTAAAATTACATTGTTATTCATAATTATTTTTGTCGGACATACATGTATCAACTTCCTTAGGGTCGCCACAGCGACATTTTGGGGGCGTCGGACCCCCCCAAAGCCACGTGATTTTTGTCCGACCTATGTGATATCAATAATGTAACATAGAAAACAGTTGATTGGCATCAAAACCACACGTACATGTATCAACTTCCTCAGGGACGCCACAGCGACATGTTAAGGGCGTCGGACCTTCCCCAAAGCCACATGCTTTTTGTCCGACAAATGTGATATTGTTAATGTAATATAAAAAACAGTCGATTGGCATTGAAACTACACGTACATGTATCAACTTCCTTAGGGACGTCAGAACGACAACTTCACGAAGAGCTAGCGCGGCAATGTCCCATCGCCCAGGGTGGAGATATGAAAAATATTGTCCGACTTGGTGTTATGAAGCCGCTCAGGAAGTTTGGCGTGTACATGAGTTACAAAATTTTAGGGTCGATGTACTGGGGACAGGCTAAAGCCAGAAAACAAATGAACGTTCCTTATGGGACGGCATCGGCTTAAATAAACATTTAATGCCGACATAGCAATTTGATGTTTACTTTACAACAATGTATTTAAAAAGTCCTAGAGGAAAGGGGTAAGCACATTAAAGCATATAAAAAATAGATAATTGATTATAAATCAGCATGGCAATTGGTTAATATAACTGGTATACCCTAATAGCACAGAAACATATCAATTCATCATTGCTAAAAAGTAAACCTCAATGGCGGTTGGACAACAAAGCGAACAAGCTCAATTAAAACAGAAATATCATCAACATTAACCTCTTCCTATACAGTGTCAACAGTCAACACCAACCGATAGTATAAGTTCTCTATATTTGTTACTGTATTTACTAGCTTGTTTATTGTTTACTCGAGTTTAAATTTAACTGGTCAAATTTGTATAGTGTGAATACACAAAACACCTTTTCCCAATCAACTGACACCAAAGGATAGACCTATTCTATCTCGCAGCATATTCTAACTATTTAATTTATATTCGAATGAAATGGCGGTGGTGTTTAGCATGGTAATGCAAATAATGTAGGTTGTAAAACGGGGCATAAATATTGGCCTTGCAAACGAAATATATTAATTTGTTGGATAATAAAAGCACCTGCAACGTAAATATTTTTGTTGAAAAACGCATGGTATAATAAGAGTTCCCGTTATGGTAATTAATAACAGTCATTATGAGTCGATCAATAGTTGAATTTAAAAAAAAAAAAAATGATTTAAAAGTACTGGAGAATGGAGATCTCTCTTTGGCCTTGTCGAGTTTCATACGCTGCAGTTTTAAGTTATTCATAATAATTAGAGTATGATATGAGCACTATCGTTTCTCCTCTCCTTATTTTTCGTTTCGGAGCACTTGCTTCGCCTGCTTTTGGTAGGACTAATATGTCTTTTGGTGAATAATATAAGTTTTCAATATTGGTTTTCGGTAAAATAGTTGTAGTTGACTGTAGGTTTCTGGCTAGCACTCTGGGAATTATGGGAGACGGAGTTCTAGCGCTGGAGGGAACTGCTTGTGGAGAGTAATTAATTTCAAGATTATCAGGTTGTTGCTAGGGTTGAGTAGTTAATGGCCGTTCTTCATTTTGTGCCCTATTTGTGACCTCTGTCGGTTTGAATAAACACCTACACACGTGTATAAATGTTTTGTTTATGGGCAAATGTTTCCAAACATTTGTTTGTGGCAGTGTATGTTGAGAAGAACCACCTATTAAAAATATTATTTCTTCAAAACTCAATTTTTTTAAAAAAAAACGTTTACTGAATAAAATTAAATGTTGCAACCATGCGCCACAGAGTTTAGGTTTAGGGGACAACGAGGGTACCATCCGAAAGGGAGGTAAAGAAGAATAAGCGATTAGGCTTTGGAATAGGGAACAAGCGGCGGCTCTCCGAGACGCGCGTCTGTAATTATTCATTTTTCAATTTTCATTCCTATTTTGCATTAAAATTAATTGTTCAATTCAATTTGTTATTAGTGTGTGTGTGTAAGGAACGTACAGGTTAGTGGATTAATTATTATTTGGTCTTTGAGAGTTCAATTTACGCAAGTACAGTAGTGTCTCGATAAACGAGTCAGGATTTTACTTGATTAGGTAATCCGAATTCATTCACATGACACTTGAAAATAAAAGCACAGGTTTTCACTTGTCGTTTTGTAACTGTGTTCAAGTGAATAGGTAGTTTTTACATGTCTACATGCATCATTTAATACGCGGCGTCCTTCCTGACTGTGTGGGTTTTTTTTAAAGAAAATGGAACCTATTATACGAAAACACAAAACTTTAAGTCTCAACGAAAAGCTAGTGATTATAGACGAGCTTTCAAATAAATATAGTTTTTTTGCTTAAATATGGCATGTAGTAGAACATGCAAACACCGGGCCCAAAGCATTTAGCCGGTTTCCGGGAGTCCGGAAACGCTTCTCACGGATTGTTCTGTTTTAATTGATCCGGATAATCATGACACTACTGTATTATTTTTTTTTCCAATTTTTATGTTTTTTTTTTGTTTATAACATTTTTTATAACATGTGCATTGTTTATGTATTTAACCAAAAATCGTTTCATACTGTAAACAACACAAATAAAGAAGTATATTAAAACCTAAGAAATTATGTGCTGTCTTTTTGTGCTGGGATTTTGATTTTGTGGATTCAGAGCGTGCATTAGAGCCTTGTTGAATTTACTAACATTTTCCTACCCTGACGGGAGAATATCCTAACAAATTGAAATAATCAATCTAAAGATATTGGCTCAAAAACAACTATAGCTGGGTAGCATCCCGTATGGGAACTCAGTACCTTCCGGCAGACCGGCTAACTAACCAAAAACTCTTCAGTTTTGATTACAGGTAGTATTGATTGAATGAATGTAGTGTGTGTAATTAAAATTTTAGCACAAGAACAGGGGCGGTACCTAATTTAAACTTTTATTGACTTAAATTATTGAATTAATGACTCACAATTATTATTAAAATGACACAGTATGTTTCGATTTTTCGGGAATCGGGGTTTTCTCTTCCGTTCTCTTTTTCCTCGTTAATTCCAGGTCGAGAACGGTACGTTTTTCATTGAAAATAAAGGAGGCGTTTCACAAATTTTGCGTTTCTTTTACATATTACAGCTTCCCTTAAATTTCCCGAATATTTGCTATGTCGGGCGCATGTCCAGTAAGTAAATTTGAGTAAGTATCCACAACGTAGGTCCTATTTGTTTTGTTTTTTTCATTTCGTTTTCCAGAAGATTTGTTGTTTAAAGGTAATAAAAATTCTCATCGTTCAATCTTACTGAACGAACTTGGGTATGTTATACTACAATGTAGGTCTGGACTAGGCTTTAGAAGACCTTTCACAGCTTAAGAGGGCTTCCAAAAGTAAAATCTATGTCTGTATAAGTTGTATGTTTGAATAGTAACTTTTTGAATTCAAGAATTAATAGATTTTGATCCTGGAGGTCCCGTTTCTTGTAATACTGATAAATAGTTTTTTTCACAGAAAAATTAGTTATTAATAAGTGACTCTTAATGTCAATTTCCTTTACACGAAAAACGTTTATACCTAAGAAAAAAAAAGGAGGCCTTTTAAGCCCTAAACAAACAAACCTGAAAGTAAGAAAAGACAACAGACGGAAAAAACACCACTTTTAAGTAAACAAACTCATAGGCAAAGTACAAAAAAAAAAAAAAAAAACGCCAAACTACTTGGCGGACTTTTCTGCTTTAAGAATTTCAGTGATACCGTCGTACATCTCTTGCAAGCACTGATACTCGGTAAGGCCCAAACGTCTCTTGTTGGACAAATCGTAAATTCCTGCGGAAGATTCGCTGTGCTCTCCTGCGGCACCTCTTATTTGAAGATGGTACTTGTCGGCCAGCTCTTGGAATTTTGCCATATCGGCTCCCAGCTTGGGGGTTTTAATGTGGACTGAGGCTCGAATTGTAGTACCTAAATTATCAGTTTAGAGAAATATTGATGGAGAATAAAATAACTAACCCAAATTAGTAGGACAAAAAGTCAAATACCCAAATCGTTCATTAGAAACAAAGTTGATTGTCTTGCCAATCTCGTTGATTCCCGAAATCAATCGTTTGAAAACTTCTCCGACGTTGCCTCCGGGTTGCATGCTCATTATTCTCAGATGGTCTTCTTCGCCCACCCACACCAAGAAACTTTTGTTTTTGTTGAAGTAGATGCCCCTGCCAGTCGGCCAATAACGGCATGAATTGGCAGCTTGCAAAAAACGATCCCCTTCTTTGAATAAGTAATGCTCATCAATTAGCCTTTGTTGAACTTCTTTTGGCATATCTACAAACCAAACAATAAAAACGAAACCAACAAACCAAAGATCCAATTCTCGCCAGTCAAAGGATTATAAGTCCCAGCCAAATCTTTCGTAAGTCCTTTGAAGACTTCTTGCATTTGCTTTTCAATGTCCTTGTAGTTTTCTTCGGTCATGCAAGGATTGAACGGATAGCCTTTCATCGTTCTACAACATCGGACTCTTGTCGACACAATGTAGTCACCTTTCGGATCCAGATTTCCGAAAGTCGTACTCGGGCCCCAATCGGTCGCCGGTTGTTTGTCCGTTCGGCTCACGTGGTGGTACTCTTCGATGATCGGATCGAAAAGGTCGGCGAAGACTTGGTAGCATTCTGGATCGGCCGCGTAAATGCCGATACCGGAATCTAAGTTTTCTATACCTGGAATTGAGATTTGAAGATGTTAGAGCTCTATTATTCAGACCTCAATATCTACATAAGTAGGTATATTCTGAGTTGGAACTTTCATCAATCGGCTTCAGTGCTGATAAAACACAAGTCCTAATACCATGCCAATATCTGTAGGTACTTTTGTGATATTGGTGTAAATTTTCTTACCAGATTGAATACAATCGAGCAAAGTAGACTCGAACGAAGTCTTTTTGAACTTCAACTTATCGAACAATTCACGCGTGAGGAACCGCTTCAACATGGACGTGGAATTGGAATTCTCCAACTTTTCGAAGCCCGCTTCCAGTTTGGCCAAAACGTCCGGACTCGCTTTTCCTTTGCCGCACTTGTCGGCGCACTTTCGGCATTTCGGATGGGACATTGTGGTACTTTACCTCAACAACAGGAATTTAGATGTAATACTGACGAAAATTTTCAACAGGTTTGAATTATGGTAAAGTGCAATTTTGTGAAAGGAGGAAAACAGAAAATGTCATTGAAATGTCAAAGATGACATATTTGTTATAAAAGGTAGGATCCAGAAATTGGAAATGGTTCAGTAACTCGATACGAAATATTTTCTCTATCTCTATTGATGTCCCCCTCCATCGGGTTTTGAAAAGAGAGAAGACAGTAAGTGCCATAGCGATGAAGATAAAGATCTCTATCCGTTATACGTCTCATATAGCAGATTTTTTTCTAGTTTTCCAGTGAAACTCAAAGTTGTTCCGATTAGTAAAGTACAAAAATGAGTTAAATTTTAGAACTCAATATAGGGCACTTTCCAAAATTCACCGGTTTCTGAACCGGTGCGATACCGGTTTAACAGTTTACTCACCAAACCGTTCCAAAATATACCGACTTTTTACCGGTTGATCCCGATCATCCGTTCCAAAATTGACCGGAATGATCAGCTGTTTGAAACCGGTGAGGCACCGAATCCACCGGGAATTTTTGTCGGTTCTCTCGGTTGGAGATTTTTTGACACTTTTGTTTTGACGTACAGTTAAAAAAAAAGTAGTAGGTACAAGAAAAATCTCCAAAATCTCCTGGTCTATTATACATTAATTTAATTCATAATCAAAAATGACATATTTTTGGAATTTTTCGACAAGTTTTTAACCTAGAAAGGTCCAGATGACATTATTTTGACATATTTCCACCCGTTTCCAACCTAAAATATGTCATTGCCTGTCAAAATTTTGTATGTTACACCAGGAGCTCAAATTGGAGTTAATAATTTTTGTACTACTTTTTTTTTATCGCAACTGTACATTCATTGCTTTATTTACGACTGACATATGATGTAAATATTACATATGTGATTTTGGCAGTATAAAGCCATATATTATTCCCGCAGGGATTAATGGTCATTATTCCCGATTGCACACCAATCACAATAGTAGATTATACCACGAGTCAATAATGATAGCTATTATTCCCGAGGAATATTTACGAACTGAGTCGCGTTAGCGGCGAGGGAGTAAGATTCCGAGGGAATAATAGCCATTATTCCGAGTAGTATACTCTACTTTATTTACGACAAATTAATTTATTTGAAATTTTCTTTTCAAAAACGCTATTTGTTCATCCATCTCAATACAAATACACAAGCACTACGCGTTTGACACTGACACTTTTGAGTTTGTTCAGGTATATTGTTTCCATGGTACTACCACAGTTTATACCGTACCGATACAGTTGTTCAACTCCGTTGACAAACCATTGATTTTTTTGAAGCCAAATTCTATGTCCCTATATTTCGCGCTTGCGCATTATTGATCGGAAACAACGAATCCTGGGCCGTGGACAGAGTCGGACTAGTACTAGTAACTAATTTACTATTATGCATACGGCAAACTAGTATACTACATGCTGCAAGTCGATGGTTTCCTGCAATGGGGCATAATACTACATAGTTTTTTAAAAAAATTAGCCATCACTAAGTTTTTACGCAAAAAAAGTTCACTGGCTCTTAGACCATTAGAACACAGCCAGGATTTCAATCCCATCCAGATTTGCAGCACAGTATTAGATATTTTTGGAATGTGGACAATTATTTCATCAGATCAAGATTATGTGAATGTATAGAATAAACCTAATATGAAATATGTAAATATAAATACTTACAGTCGTTCATCTTTCGGGAAACTAAAATATCCTAAGCCTGGGCTAGTTCTAGTGTTGTTTTTACAGACAAAACAGGAAGCAACCATGATAATACACAATATATAAACGATAAAACAGTCAAGTACACAAAAATCGCGAATAACACGGAAAGCAAAACACTCTCTATCAAAGCCGAATTTCAAATTGATGAATTTTCCGGTTACTTTTCAATTTCCTGAAAAATTTCAGTCAAAAAACTTCTCTTCTTTTTTTTGTAATACAATATCCTGTTGCGTGTCTCGTTTAACAGTTATTTCTCGCGGGTTCTCACCCAAGCTATCTCTATCTCTTTTTTGCGTGCAGGATTGGAAAGAGACATGTATATGCCGAACTGCTTTTTCAATTTGAGAGATTTGTTCACTCATTGAGCGCATGCGCAAGATATGGGTCAAAATGCTCCTATTGGTTGGAGAATTTGGCCTCAAAAAATATGGAGAGTTGTACAACTGTATCGGTACGGTATAAACTGTGGTACTACTTAAATTTGAGAAATTTTGTGATTGGTGTGCAAGCGGGAATAATGACCATTAATCCCTGCGGGAATAATATATGGCATTATACTGCCAAAATCACAAATATAATACTTACATTATATGTCAGTCGTAAATAATTTTTTTTTAAATTAAATAGTAGTACCATGGGAACAATATACCTGAACAAACTCAAAAGTGTCAGTGTCAAACGCGTAGTGGTTGTGTATTTGTATTGAGATGGATGAACAAAGAGCCTTTTTGGAAAGAAAATTTCAAATAAATTGATTTGTCGTGAATAAAGTAGAGTATACTACTCACAATAATGGCTATTATTCCCTCGAAATGTTACTCCCTCGCCGCTAACGCGGCTCAGTTCGTAAATATACCTCGGGAATAATAGCTATCATTATTGACTCGTGGTATAATCTACTATTAAATAGGCACTATGGGCAGTCGTTTGTTAAATTTTTGCTTGCAGATTGCAGAATCAAAAAATGTTTGTGTGTGTGCGTGAACAATTTTATCTTTATTCATATGAAGTCTACAAACCAAACACTCAGCTCAAATAATCTACAAAAATCATACTGAAAAGTGAAATATACCGTTTGTTTACTGTTAAAAATAATAAAAATAGATACCAGCCTTACTGCACCCTACGGCACACCACACCATCATACATTTAAACAACAAACAACACAACTGAGCACAGCACAACCAAACTGCACACCAAATACCAAAACGGCAAAGCGTTCCAAAATGCACCAGAAAAATCATGTAACCGGAGTTATTGTCCGTTGATTTTAATATGATACTCGGACGGAATGTGAGCTGGTGGCTCCCTACATTAGAACGCCAATGGTTACCTGACGTCACACCTGTTTTTGCCATATGAAACACCCTCTCGCTCCTCATACCGCAAGTATCAGTTAAAAATCGATGAACAATATGCCCGTATTACATCTGTGTATTTTTCCGTGTATTTATTCACTTATATAGTTCAGGGTGCCAACATTATTTTGTTTTTCATATTGCTAATTTATGTTGCGTTTGAAGTTCTTCGGTTGTCACCCTGAACTACATGAATAAATACACGAAAAAATACACAGATGTAATACGGACATAATACGGGCATTACACCTAACTTTTACCGGAATTTTTAGAAAGCTACCCGTTTATTTAACCGGTCAAATTATCGGTGAAATTTGGAAAGTGCCCATACTCCAAAGTTCAACTGTTTTGGAAATATTCACAGAAGAAAATTTACTTTTTTACAACTTTGACAGGCTGTAAAACCTAAACGGTTAATTTTAGAGGAAAACCTCTTATCTTAGATTTACATAAATTATCATTTGACATCAACTTTGAATTTAATTGGAATGTTCAATAACAGAATTAATTCAAAGTTGGTGTCAAATGATAATTTATGAAAATCATAAGATCGGTTTTGGTTTTCCTCTAAAATTAACCGTTTAAGTTTTACAGCCTATTAAAGTTGCAAAAAAGTCAATTTTTAACTGTCAATATTTCCAAAACAATTGAACTTAGGTATTAAAATTTAGTACCACAATGTATGAAATCAAAAAACCCTCCATAATGATGTATCACTTGACCCCCCTTCCCATTTAAGATTTTGTAGGGGGTAGCTCTGGGGGCTGGGAAATAAAAAGGGAGGAGGTGAATTTCGCGTGAAAACTCATCCCCCTTTAAATTATAATTGACGTGTTTCAGGGATTTTTTCGAAACTTTCTCAACTCCGAGATACCTAATGGTGGTAGGTTTTAAAATGGACAGCCATACAGCGTTATTAGTGCTGAATCGGAGTATAATACATTGCTTTGTCTTCATGTATAAGCGACTGTTTATTTTTCGGGCAAATACAAATTTTAATGTTTTTCCACATGAAATCTGCTCAGAATTTTACATACAGATCGTTTCACGAGGGTTTATACTTTTCACACAGTTTTTACATCGAACACGTCATAACTTGAAAAAAAAAAGGGTTATTCTGTGTTATTGTCGTAGATTAATTCATATAACACGTCCAATTTTTTTGACAAATTAAAATGAATGACTTCTGGTCTAAGAACCGACCAACGTTTTTGACGTCATTGATTTGTTCCAGTCAATTTCTATTATATAAAAAAGCAAGGCAAGAAGTATGAACCCTCGTAAAACAAAGTTTAGAATCCAAATAGGCAATCACATACAGGTTGTCACGTTTAAAAAAAAAAGACTTTTATATCGTCACACCTAATTGATGAGCCACCCTGTATACTCAAAAATATGTTCCTAAAATAGTTTCACGACCAGGTAGTCGATTCTCGAATTTGGTAGAAGTGAACGTTCCTCTAAGAGAAGTGAGAGATCACATCGCACGCTCGTTCTCTTGGTGCCAAAGTTGGTATTCTCAAACGTATGGGATTATGAGAGAATGAGAGAAAACTTGTCAAATCATAATGCGTTGTTGCCAACAGTAATATGTAGAATTAGCCACAATTTTAGTGCGTTAAAAAGGACGAATGTAATGAGAAAGAAGAAAATCAGTTTGTTTTATTTGTATTTTGGGACGTAACCTCATTATTTGTTTATTTATTCACTGAAAATCAAATCATTAATCATTCTAGTAAAAAAGATTTTTCCGGGCTGTATTGCTGTGGTCCATTAGTACTTCTACCTACGTTTCGTCTACTGCTGCGGTAGACATCCTCAGAGGGGGTGTGGTTGTGGTAGAGGACGAAGTGTTCTCTTCCGTGTTCCTCCGGCGACTGGATTCGACATTGTTGGACCTGCGTTGGACCCCTTAATATGAATGGGCGGTTACACACGGACGTGGATGTCTTAATACATATACATGCATACATCAATGTGCAACCAAAAACGTGCATGGCGCTTTTGTACAGACGCTCGCACAAAACTGCAGTCTTGCTATTCTTGCTATAGTGTTCCGAGTGTGCATACAAAATTGCACATTCAAAAACGCGACGGTATTTTGCATACATATTGATGTTTTTGTTTGCACGTTCATGTATGTGCGTACATGTTCTCAGACATCCACGTCCGTGTGTAACCGCCTAATAACGCAGGTCCAACAACGTCGAATCCAGTCGTCGGAGGAAC